AATCACGATTTGCTGATGTTCAAGCTTGAAAAAATGGGAATTCGTGGAAAAGCACTCACCCTAATAAAAAGTTATCTGACCAACAGACAGCAGTATGTCAAGATAATGGACGAACTGAGTGAGATTGCTGAAATTCTCTTTGGAGTTCCTCAAGGTAGCTGCTTAGGACCATTGTTGTTCGTGTTGATGCTTTATGACCTCAAATTTTTAAACACCATGTCCACAATTATTAAGTACGCGGATGATACGGTGATGGTGCTGACTTGCGATAAGCTTGAAGACATACCGGATACTATAAGAAAAGATATCGAAGTTATTAAACAATACTATACAAGTAATGGACTTAAATTGAATGCAAACAAGTCGAAATTCATGACATTTGGCTTCACAGACTATAAAGACCTAGATGATCTTATGAGAAACAGTGAAATTGAAAAAGTTGAGTCTATAAAATATTTGGGAGCCGTTGTTGACAACAAATTAAGATTAAATGAACACACAAATCAACTTGTCAAAAAAATCTCTCAATCTGTGAATGCAATGAAGGTCATTAAAAGGCACTTACCTACATACTCGCTTTTGCAGTTCTACAATGCGTTTATTGGATCTCACTTCTTCAGTTGTGGCTTTCTTATGTGCAGGATGAATGCTGGGGACCTCAAGAGATTACAGACAATCCAAAACAAGTCACTGAAAATTACATTTGGCCTAGACAGAAGATTTCCAACTGAAAGCTTGTTCATGGATGTTGCAATAAATGTTTTACCGGTCTTAGGCATAGCATGTTTCAACTTACTCTTGCTTATTAAGAAGAATTTAACGAACTCTGATGACTTTGAACTTATCACTGATGGACGTAGAAAAAAGCAGTTAAAATTTCCAAGATTCCGTAAAGCACTCCTTGCTAATGACTTCACTTGCTTAGGTCCAAAAGTATACTATCAACTGCCGCTGGAAATAAGAGAGATAAAAAGATTTAACTTATTCAAACAGAAACTTAAACATTTTCTATTAGAAAACAAACTAATTTTCTTGAGGGGCAATCAACTAAACATAAACAACCTGTTCAAATCAGCATAATCCGTCAGTTGCAGTAATTAGATGCGAAATATTCAAAATTTATTTTAGCGTTATTTATTTAAACCTCTGTTTTTTCGTTATTTTACTTAAATGTTTTTATTTTTACGAACTTAAATCGAAATCTTTACTTGAACATAATATATTAATACTTACCAATATGTGCGTGTGCGTACATTATACAATTTTCTTATCACAAACACCTTTAGTGTAAATTTATTTAACAATATATTTATGTAATGAATATTTAATTTTCAAATTTATGGTCTAAAACGAGCATTATGTCACTAGTTATTAAGCTTAACCACCCGAGACGGTGAATAAACAATCAATCAATCAATCAATCAATCAATCAATATATGTTGTTTTATTATTGTGCATACTTAAATTACCTTATAAAGCACATATTGAGTACAAAAATGAAGAACTTTAATTCAATTTCTGTACAAGTGCAACGCAAAAGCGTGTATTTTCCTAATCCGTTAAAAAATGATTTTAAAAAAATAAAATTTTACTTAAATTAACAACATATTTTTTGATTAGAATGTTGTTTATGAAAAATTAATAGTAAATGAATATGTTAAGCTGGTTTTCGTAAAGTGTAAGTTTAGTTAAATTAAAGTATTCAAAAATTTTATAATTTCAAGTTCGATAAGAATTAGAACTCATTTTTACTATATGTAGAGGTCATATCTTGCGATCGAGTTTTCGACCACTTCTACTTCTCCAATACAATATTAATATAATAAATGAAATTGAAGCTCTCAAATATTGCGACATATTTTATGAATGCGCCCATTTTTTGAGATGTAGATTTTAAGCCAAAATCTTTTGGATTTCTTACAGAAAACAATATTTAACACAAAATAAATCTGCATTCTTTGTTTTCAACTGTTTATGGATTCACCATTTTATCTAATTTTGAAAAAAAAATTCGTGTTTTGCTTTTCAAATATTTTTCTTCAAAATGTAAGCAAACATGAGGAAGGAAAAAATTATTTTTAGAAATTCCAGAATCAAGTACACTAAATGCTATTTTTATGAATATCATAATGTTTTCTGAAATCTCACCAAAAAACTCGTGAGAAAAATTTTGTATGAAATTTTTGAACACAGAGATTAATGGAAGTTTTTCTGTTATTGACTGTGTTCCTCTTTTTGAATGTATATCAGTCAATAGCTTCAATGCCTCTGGATGCTTTTTTGATCTCTTTAAGCATTGCTGAATGTAACGAAATGTAAATCAATAGTTTGAAGTTGTCTAGACTTTAAAAAAGAGAAAACCTTTCGTAAAAGTTCAAAATTTTGCATTCTGTACAAGTGCAACGCTTACAAAAAGTCAAATATTTTGTAATTTAAAGCATGTAGAAGGAACCAACTGCAACAAAAGGATATAATTTAATCACCATACATAAATATATTTTGTGTTAAGAACGACTAGATAGCTTAATAAAGATAAATAATGTTTCATTGACGAATTTTTTGAAAACGTCAATCGATAGAATTGTCCATTTGTGTTATTAGTCTTGTCAATAACATACTCAAAACCGTTTAAATGATCAAAATTGGTTAATTCAGCAAAAAGCTTAAAGTTAAATCCGAGGATTAATTTTCTGCAATTCGAGTTTTTAATCTCTATATACATTAGTATATAGGTTTTAAAAACTGCACGTGCAGTTTTTTACTTCTAATGATTTTTTCATTAGGAATTAAAAACTGCACATGCAGTTTATAATCTCTATATATAAATGTATATAGAAGTTATAAACTACACGTGTAGTTTTTTACTTCTAATGGAAAAATCATTAGAAGTAAAAAACTGCACGTGCAGTTTTTAACACCTATATACAAATGTATATAGAGATTAAAAACTCTAGATGCAGAAAATTTAGGTTTTATAAATTTGAAATGTTAAGAGGTAAAAAACTTTAGGTGTTTTGAACGGTCATCCCACAATTTCATTAGCAAGACTACCACTTGCCTCCGTCTTCGTCCACAACATTAAAATTTTACCGACGTCTGATTTTCTCTCATTCATATTAAATTCATGATCATATAACCGAAAAAAAAAAATCTTCATATTCTGTTATTTTATGCTCAAATGCAGTCCATAGGAAGACAGAAAATTATGAAAATTCCACTCATTAAATATTAATTCGCAGTCAGAATGAGCAAAATGTGCGGCTTTATGGTTGAATGAACAGGAATTTTTGGAAGAATGTTAAATTAGATTATTGTGCTGTGCCTAGATGAGGTGCTGTTCATGTCAATTTTCATGTTTTTAATTTGATTTTTCGGAAAGTTAAATTTTTTGATGATTTTGTGGTTGTTGATCTGGATTATTGGCTAGTTTCTAGGGCTATCTATGACTAGGCTGACGAACTGCGCTCTTTAGAGCGGGTAGATGCCACACTAGTTGATCCTTTGATGGTTATCTGTGATTAACAGCATTAAGTTCAGTAAGAGTAATATCAAAGCTATGTTATGGCTAGATTTGGATGAGATTAAATAGTCATTGTATTAAAAAACTCAAAAATTAGCTCAAACAACGCAAAAATAAACTGCAAAAAAAAACAAAAAGAAGTTCCAAAAAACTTTCCATCTCCTCCAAAAACCACAACAAGCATCAGTATCAGCATCACTAACAAGGGATAAATACACAAGACCGAATATATCATGAATAATTAAACTTAATTAAATTAATTCATAACTTTACTTGCTCCTTGTACTTCTTCTTCATATTTTCATGTCTTGTTTATCTTATTCATATCCAAACCCCAAGAAAAATAAAGTTTATAAGAACAAGTTCTTGATAAAATTTATGTGAATGTGTATTTAATGCATGACATGTGAGTAAGGTTTTGAATAATATTCGGGGTAAGTTACTTTTCGTGTTTAATTTAATATAATGAATTAAGTGAATGATTTTTGGATGTACGGAAAGTTTTTGATTTATTAATGCTGCATTTGAATTAGGAAATTTTTCTGAACATTTTAATCTATGAATAGTTTTCGAGCTTTATATGATAGGACTTAATAATAATGTGTGAAGGGCCCAGCCTTTCAGCTGAAGGCACTGCGATTCAAATTAGAAAAGAAGCTATTGTACCACACCCTTTAGACCTACAGTTTATAGTGGGATCCGAACCACTTGCAAGCTCTGCACATTGCAAAGACACGAGTACGTCATAAGACCTGATGTACCCTGCAATGTACCTAGTCACAATCCGTGTGCGCAAGATGCCGTAAGGATGTCATCCAGATGCTAGTATATCCTTGTATACCTAGCAAAGGAGGCATATTCTGTGCCAAAGACCTCAAAACTACACCCAGCACACGAACCGAGCTTCGTAACTAGAACGGTGAAATGGAAAAAGAGCTTCGAAAATTAGACATGGCCTGGGATTGAACCCAGGACCTCTGACACAGAAGGCCAACGCTCTATCATTTAGGCCACTGATGCCATTTCACCGCTATATTATTATTGATAGGACTTAGGGTCAAGATGGGGGGGGGGGGGGGGGGTAGGGTTAAGGACCCCCTGGCTATCACATCACACAGAGATGGGCAGACAGACAAACAGACAGACAGACAGATAAAAAACTTGATTATAATTACTCTATTTAGCTGATAACTTTTAGTATAACAATATCATTTATTTATTTTAAAATAATTATTTCTTCAATATTCGCAGATCTTCAGAAGCATCAACTATGGGATCCTGTAAGTGCAATTTTTTGAAAAAAAAAATTCAATAATTTACAAAAGTTATTTTATTTGCAGTAAAATTCGTTTTCAATTTTTTATTATTTATATTTCTGGTGAATATAATTCCCGAAATAAAGTCTTCATTCGGATGGATTGTGGTTTTAATAGTTATCTTCATAAAATATAAAGATGTATTAGCAAAGATAACATTCTTCATGGCTTTCATTTTCATAGCTATTTTAAGCATCACCAGTAAATATACGGAATGTTTGAAAGAGAAAAAAGTTGATTTACTTTTATTGCAATTGCCAAACGAAAATGCGTGTGAAAAATATAAAAAGCAAAATATATTTAGAATAATTTATAATGGTGGCAGTTATAGAGAAGAATGCCGTCAATATTTGAAGAAAACACAAACTCCATTTCCCGAATTTTGTCATGTCGATGAAATTATTTTACAAATTATTGAAAAATCAGTACTTCCACTAATTGATCAAATTGCTCAACGATTAAACAAATTAACCATTTTTAAGGATTTTGTTAATAATCTTTTATGGTTACTTTTTATCATTGTCGTATTATATTACTTATTTCGATCTCCAGTTCAATATCTAACGAGATTATTAACAAGAGATAGTGATGAAGACAACGAAAGACGTCGACAGGAAACAAGTAATCGACGTCGAGCTTATTTTTCCGACTTTTAATCATTGTAAATCTAATTAATTTTAATAAAATATAATAATTTTGAATTGCAATAATTAAAATCGCTTTGAACAATTGGACATAAGTTAAAATTTTCATAATGAAAGATGAATTTATAGACAACTTAATGCTCTATCGCTGGATACCGTCTGCCAATTGCCGATTCCATATGCAACACTGTCTCTGTCAACAGACTCTTTCCATGAGTTCTTTGGCCTTCCACATGATATTGATATTGTTATACTGATTCATAAATTAGTGCTACTCGCGCAATATGCGTTATATGACGTCATAATTTTTACCGCATTACTCATTACATTTGAATAACATTTCCGCCATGAATCAAGTAATTAGACGGCCAAATGTATTAATCATTAGTAGGCTGTCCATCGGTTTTTGTTTTCGTCAAAAACCTGGACATGTTCCAATTATAACTCTGAAACCGCGGGATAGACCAAATGTTTATGCATCTTCCATGAAAAATAGATTCCAAAAAGCAGGGCTGTTCTGCTCACAAGTGGGCAGTTGGATAGCTTAATCATGAGTCATAAATAGACTGACCACATGCTTGGTTTTTGAGAGGGCAATCTTCTGTTTTTTTTTCAATTTTTATAAATAAAATTGTTTTGTTTTGTTCTAATTCGTCCAGAAAACGAATAAAATTGTTAGATTCGTGAGATATTCTGTATTTTATTTTTTGGTCCTCTATTTTTGAAATTTGTTTCTAAAATGTAGCTTGATAATACACTTTGTTCGGCTGTTCGGCTGTTCGGGGCAAGAAAAACTTTTTAACCAGACATCGTGTGTTTGTTGGACTTTTATCTATTAAGATAATCCAAAATTTCTGAAACTATTATTCACTATTAATAAGAACTTATTTGCTTAAGTGTTCTGATAAGACTGAATTTTATTTCATAAAAATTGTTACTTATATACTATTTTCTTAGTACGCATCAATCATGCACCTGTGGTGATGATTAATACGTCAAGAATGTTAAAATATTGTGTAATTGATAAAAAATAAGATTTTTTGCAATTCTGCAATAAAATAAGAATATTTTGCAATTCTGCAATATAATAGGAAAATATGAAATTTCAAAAACGATATAAAATATTTTAAATTATAAGACAGCTAATTAGTGCCATCTTTTAAAAATCTTAAAAAATGAAAGATATAAATGAAAATATAAAAATATAAAAAATATAAAAAATATAAAAATATAAAGTTTCAAGTATTTTATACTTAACAACTCCGGCGACGAAATGATGCGTATACATCCTGGGCTTCGATGTCATCAATGTCAGAAATAATAGTTGTTCCTGATGGAGCAGGAGATGTATATCTGGTTTCTGATTTAATTGGGTTGGTTTGTTGATTCGGATTTATTGGTGCATCATTTTGTACTGCATGTATTTGTTGTCTCAACACAGCGTTGTAAGTTGTTGACAGTTCGTTGGCTGCTGTGAACAAGCGAGCAGCGTAATTATCGATACGTGCTGCATTATCCAAATTAGAGTGCATCAATCTGTGGAGAGTATAAGGTATATTACGTCCGGTTGCTTTGGTGTATTCTTCGGCCAGCATCTCGAATGCGATCGTTTTTTGGGTGTGCAATTTCGTAACGAATGACAACTGTTCGGTTAAACGCTGTATTAATCTGTTATCTATTGTTGACTGAGATATTTCACTTATTGACTCAATCAATCGTCTATAGTCACGTAAGTGAGTAGTCAAATTGTTGTTGTTAGATGTGACATAATTAACTTGCTGGCGGAGCTGATCAATTATTTTATTCTTCTCCGTTATAATGTTGGTGGTTGTATTTTCTGTCGTAGTTCTTAAGTGACCTTTTAACACTGGTCTTTTACACGTTGCACATACTTTTGTTCGAGATACCTTCTTAAGATTATCAAAGCATTCTCTATGCAGAAGATGGTCACACGCTGTCTTGCACCAAGCAATATTTTTAGATGTTTTACACACAGAACAAATCATTTTTTGCTTTTCACTTAACTTGATTTAATTTTTCTTTAAGAGCTTGTAAATTGTCTTGTTAATTTCACTTTCTTTTTTATAGTTTATGATTTATGTATATTTTTAATATTTTTTACTTATTTTACTAACTTTATTGGTTTTTTGCGTTTTAAGCTTTATGGCTGAATAGTTGAAGTTCTAATAGTAGAATGATTCGTTGCCCATAGATCGCTCCATTTGATAAAGGAGTCTTGCATTGTTGTTGTATGTTTAGGTTTACACAGTTTATAGCATATAAATAATATGATTAGTGTAATTGTCATTACCGGCATAATTATGTAAATACTCCAACTTGGTAGTGTATAATTTTCACTTAATGCATTTATATTGGTGATTGAATGCAATGTTTGCTTTAATTTTTCTATGACGTCATTGTTTTGTTCTTCTATTTGTGTGAAGTTATCCTTAAAAATGTTTATTGGATATTTTATCTTGAATTTATTGAAGTCGAGTGTGACATTAGTTTTGAGCTTAATTTCTGCTTCAGCAGGATAACTGAACGTATGATGCTGCGTGTGTATCGTGCATCCTGATGGAACTTTGAGAAGATGTGCGTTAAAGATCTGCTTCGTTGTTGTAATATTGTCTTCTTTTGTTGAACATATCATTGCAGTTTCATTTAATTCATTGATAACCAGTAACTCCTCCCCCACTTGAAAAATTTCATCAATTTTTTCATTCCAATGAGCTGTTTTGCATGATGTTATTTGTTCATACATCAGATTTCTTAAACATTCGGTGCTGCTTCTCATGCTCTTGTCACTAAAGATATTTTCATGTATTTGCTCCATTTCAGTTAAGAGTCCATATGTGCTGTTGTTTTCGTCGATGATGATAGTTGTGATTATTCGACTGGTCTGATGATCATCTACAATAGTTATCTGTCTATCCTCGTTTGGAATTGAGATGATCGCAAATTGATTGTATTTCGATGTTGATACCATAGGAATGTGATATGTAAAGGCGATTTCTCCATTTTTTAGAGTTTTTTCCCTTTTTGATATCTCAAATAATGCATCTTTATCTAGTAATTCCGGAAGCTGTAGATAATCCATATATTCTTGTCGCGTAACTGCTTCTGTTATGTCATCCAGTGGCTTGAGATTCTCTAACTCGAGATATTTTGCAGATATTAAAGTGATAATGTCTGAAATCTGTTGAGCATCATTTTGAATTTGCGTTTGAATTGTAATTTTCTGCTCAATTGCCTTAAGTTCATCAATTTTCTCCTTGCTCAATTTTGTAGCTTGATCACTTATTTGTGTGACTATATCTGTAGCTTCTTTTAGTTTTTCTTTACCATCAACCAGATCGTTGCGTAAGTTATTCATTTCTATTTGCTGATAAGTTAATGCTCCAGCAGTGATTAAATGTGGGAATGTGTATGCTGCGAATTTTGCTGCTGAGACTCCAAAACTTCGTTTTTTCCTTGTCGAAAAGCTATTTGTGATGATCTCGAATGCCTGATCTGCTTCAATTTTGAGCATTGTTTTCCACTGACTGCAATAGGTCTGTAAATCCTGGGTCGTATGCTTGCATGTATGTGAAAAATCCTCAATTTTGGTATTAATTAGTTTTTGATCGGCAAATACATTTACACCTGTCAATACAGTTACAGGGATGGTAGTTGTTAGTATTTGAGCTTTTCCTAACATGAATGTGTGCACTCCAGGGTATAATTGTGTGATTTGTGAATGTGTTGAATGGATAAGTGCAAGCCATGTGAGCAGTACTCGTGTTACCGTTAATTTTTTGCTGTGATTTCTAAGTCGCTGTTTTATCGGAACTTGCTCAGCATTTTGATGTCCGGTGTCAGATGTTTGCTTATCATTAGTTATTGCCTCAAGGTTTTTTTTCTCAACGTGTGTTGGTTCTCGCAGTAATGGAATAAGGAGGTTGACTGCGTGAATACGAGTTGTTTTTTGTGCATCCTCAATTTTGACTGTTCTTATAATTCCATTATGATCTGGAAATACTTCAATGACTTTTGCTAATTTGAATTGTCCAGGTAAGAGATGCGGTTCCTTTACAATGACAATTTCATTTACTTGTAAATTTCTCTCTGGTTTGGTCCATTTTGTTTTTCTCTGCAATGTTATTAAATATTCATGGATAAAATCTTTCCAAAAATCCTTCTGTAATTGCACTATTTGCAGCCATTTAGTTGTTAATGGCAATTTTGAGTTGATAATTTCTATTGGATGAATCGATCCTGTACGTTGAATGAGAAAGTGAAATGGTGTTAAACTCATATTGTTCGGATCTTTGCTTCCCAGTGAATATAATGGACGTGAATTAAGATAATATTCAATTCGACATACGACTGTCTGAAACTCATCAATTGTCAAATTTTTAATGTTCTCCATGCGTTTAGTGAACCGTTTTAAGGCCGCTACACAGCTCTCCCAAAGGCCTCCTTGGTTAGCTGCAAACCTGGGAATGAATTTCCAATTTATTTCTTGTACAGCTAGCTTATCTTTTGCTTCTTGTTGCACATTTTTCCATGTATCTTTAAGTAGTCTGTTGCATCCGATATAATTTGATCCATTATCTGAATACATACAACTTGGACTTGAACGTCTTGATGTAAATCGTGAGAATGCCAAAAGAAATTCCTCAGTTGAAATTGCTTTAATTACTTCTAAGTGCGTATTTTTTGTTACCATACATACAAAAACTACAATATAGGCTTTGATAGTTCTATCAAATCTGAGATTTGATGCTCTAATGTTGAAGTATCCACAAATGTCAGTTCCGGTGTTCTCAAAAGTTGGTGCAGGAGTTATTCTAGCTTCAGGTAGTTGTCCCATTTCTGGCTGTATTGGTTTTGAAATCCACCTTGAGCATGATGTGCAAGTTGAAATTACTTTGTGAATGTTGGATTTTAAAGCTGGTATCCAATAATTTTCAACAATTAGACGCTGCATAAGAGAATATTGTGCATGGAAATTTATGTTGTGGATATAC